TATTTAAAAAAAAAAAAAAGAAAAAAAAAACACTGCCTCATGAAACTGAAGTGTTATCTATTCAACATTTATGCCCCTAAGTCTCTCCTCAAATACAGAATTCCAGCGTCCCACTCGCTGAGAACTCACTCCTTTGAACAACTGTCAGCTCGCGGCATCTGGAAACAGCCGTTAAATATTTTTAGGCATCATAGGATATTGCTGAAAACACCTGTCCGCTGCAGCTCAGTGCAATCTCACACTCGGAGACCAACTTTCAAAGCTCCCTAGACCCTTCGAGTGGCAGTCAGCGCCCACCTTCTGGGCACATCTCGCCCGCCGGCCCCGTGAGCCAGAAGCCAGGACCCAAAGAGCCACGGCCAGGCCCCACCACCCATGCACAGAGTCAAAGTCAAATCAGGAGGGGCCCGTTCACAGGGTTTCTGCCCGCCCACAAGCCGTCCCTTGCATTCCAGTGTCCGTAACCGGGGAATAAGCTAGACCCACCCAACGACACCTCGAATGACAACAACAACAAAGGACGAGCAAGTCTACCTGTCGGATCACTGCACCTCCTGACCTTCCGCACCCTGGCACGACCTGCACGACGCAGGGCACGCCCTCACCTCTCACCCAGGTGGGTGTGGGCAAAGCCTGCCTGCCTGCCCTGCCTCCCTCACCTCCGAGTCTCCCCCAGAGAAGGGCCAGAATAACTGAGGAGGACGCAGCTCCCAGCACTTCCCAAAGGCTGACCGCACCGGAGGCTGGGGGAGAAGAGAGACCCCCCCCCCATCCCAGACGGAAGGAGGCGAGCCATTCATCAATTCAGGGACAATCAGGTTTTAGGAGGACCCCGCAGGAGGCCCGGCGAACTTGACTGTACTACACAGCAAGGTCGTTTTCTGCCCCGAACGTTTTAAATCGGGAGATGCTGCAAACACGGACAAGTACAGAACAATACCTACGAGCCCCCTTCCTGGAATATTAGTTTTCTGCCGTATCAACTTGACCCTGCCCGGTCTCCCACTCTCCGCTCCTGGGTCAGCCTCCCTGGAGCCCCCTCCTGGTGACTCCTGTCATTCTCTCAGCACGGCTGGGAACCCCAACACCCTGTAAGAGGAAGGGCCCTGGGCCAGCTGGCAGGCCGGGCCTGCGTCTGGAGCCAGGCCACTTAACTGGACAGCTTTCCTCTGTAACCCTTCAACCTTCCAGGATAGCGGCGGTGAAGGGCCTCAGCACGAAGGGGGCCCCCGAGGGCCTTGTGGGCAGGCAGCACCCCCCCCCGCCGCCTCCTGGTGCTGTTGGGGGTTGGGGAGGGGGGCTCTGCTACGCCCCAGCTGAGAGACACAACTAAACAGTCTGAGCGCTGGCCTCACTCACCATCCTCTTCCTCCCGGATAAGGTGACCGGGCATGTAGACTCTTATCTGCTCCCGCCCCTCACCCCTGGCAGGATTCTGAGCTGGGGGGTCCCTGGTTCCTCTTCCAGCCCCTCTGCACCCCAGGAGTTAGCGCCGCACAGGGCCCTGCCTGGGGCTTTGACTGCTACCTCACCACCGTTTCCCCCCCTAGAAGCCCACCACTGCCTACCAGGCTCCGTGCCTCGCCCCTGTGACGCGCACAAGCACCAGACCCTGCTAATTTGCAAAGACATGCTGTCCTCCTGCCACTACCCCATACCATCCCCGCCTGAGCACCTCTCTACCTGGGTGGAG